GTGAAAATATTGTCGGGCATAAACCGGTCTGTGGCGCAAAAAAAGTTGGAGACCGCTGCACCTGAGTGACTGAAGCATGAGACTAAAACAGGCTCTCCTCTATACTGTGTTCAGGAAGTGCTCCACAAACCCTAACGTTACGGCTGACAGGTGGATTTTCCCATTTCAGTTTAGTTAGCCAACAGTGAAGAACCACTTACTGCTCAAGAGACAGAGAGTAAAGTGGACAGACAACCTTGGTTTTAATAGAAAACTCATTGTAACCTGGAACGGTACAAACGTGACTCCCCTAGTTTTTCACTGTGTTCTGTTGCTAGTTAGTTAACATAAACTAATGTAGGGGGTCTGTCAGGGCATCCACACAGGCAATAATATAATAATAAAAAATTTAAAAGCCCCTTTCAAGTCACCCAAGGACACTTAACAACAAAACAATGACAACGAAGAACAATGGAAAACAAAAAGCACAAGATAAAATAAACAATGAGTTCACAGTGAATATGCAGATTTGAACAGATGGGTTTTAAGTTGGGATTTAAACTGGGGGAGAGAACCACTTCTTCTTATATCTGGGGGCCTCACCACCAGCTTTTAGCTCTGCTTCCCATGGTGCTGAGGCACAAAGAAGGCACAGAAAGCTGGATGGAAGAAGAAGATTGAAGTGTTTAACAGATCAGGAAGGTAAAGTGGAGCGAGGCTATGAAGGGCCTTGAAGGTGAGCAGAAGAAGTTTGGATATTATCCGGAATTTCACAGGGAACCCATGAAGTTCCTGAAGAAGGGGGGAGAGGGTCTGGTAATAATGCAGGCAGCAGAGTTTTAAACAGTTGAAGCTTATGGAGGGATTTTTGGGGGAGACCATGCAAGAGAGAATTCAAACAGTCCGTGTGGAAGGTAACAAGACTGTGGACAAGAACGGACGCAGACGTGGTGACGTTATCTGCACAATATATAAAATCTGCACAAGAACAACACTGTCAGTGTGTACTGTGTACATTAAAGGCAATATTATACAGACAAGACTGAGCAATACTGTTCAAAAGCTGTGAATTATTCCTCATTTCATGAGATTTTGACTTTCTTTCTAATTTTCTGAAGCAACAGTCAGTCAGAGCTTCAGGTTTTCTGTTGTTTAAGTTCGATGTCTTTATTC